GGTGCCCCATGCCTTAAGCTCCTTGATAAGATCCAAAGAAGAATCTGCAATATTATTGGTCCTGATCTGGTGGCTCTGCTCCGTTCACTTTACCACCACCATAAGGTTTCCTCTCTGTGTCTTTTCTATAAATACTGTCATGGTAATTGTTTGAATGAGCTCTTTGCCATGGTACTTAGAGTTTTTGAATTTAAGTGCAGTATGAGACCTCATCAATTTAAAGTTGAGCTGGCTAAGTGTAGCTGTAAATTCTATGCTAACAGTTTCTTCTCTTGCACTTCACTTGTGGAACTCCCTTCTGATTCTATGCTTTCCAGCCAACTTTAATCTGCAAAAATTTAAATGCAATGTCAATTGCTACCTACTGTCCACCTGATTACTCCCTTCTCTTCCTGCTCATCATTAATATTTCCATTCCTAATTCTTCCATACCCTTGTGTTTTAGTAGCATTACTGCCTTGCTTGGTGTGATTCCAATTTAAAAAGAAAAAAAAAAAAAAGACAATACCAATGTTTGAAATAAAGATATTGTTCAAGTCTGCTTTAATGCTTTTGTAAACCTATAATTGAAAATACATTGATTTTCATAAGGTTTTACAAGCATACAAATGCTTTGGAAATTTGAGCAGTTTTATATCTTATATCTTTTATATCCCGTTAGTGTAAAAGATTCCCCAGAGTTTCTACAGCAAATGAACAAGGTAAACAGGTATGATCAAATATCACAAAAAATGTGAGGTCAAAAATATATCTATGCTCAAGTTTCATGGTGTTGGTCTGAAAAGTCAATTGTAGAATTAAAGAACTGAAAACAAAGTGAACAATGTTGCCATTCATTGACATGTGCAATAAGCACAAGTAAAAGAATAAGCCTGGATCATAATATATCATTAACCTAGAAAGTTAAGTGACACTACAGCAGTCACTAAACACCCATCTCCCTCCAAAAAGAGGACGCAACTGATAACTCCTGTGGTGACACTGTAAACATTATAGTGGATGATCCATACAAACATTCAACATTTGACCATCTGCTAGAACAAAAAGAGCAAAGTGCTATTATATTTACAGACAGCAAAACCAGTTTTTACAATGTGTGTTTATGAAAGTTTTTGAGTGATATGCAGGACAAAGCGATCCAAAATTCTCAATCCCACTTGGCTGCCTTGCTGCACAGATAGGCCAGACAAGTCAGTATCAGCCGGAAACGATATGGGAACCTGGGGGAAATAAATAACAAGCAACTCTCCTTATGGCTCACGCACGGTCAACCACACAGTATTACAGGGATGGTCTTTTGTTGCAACAAGACAAAAAGGAAGAAAAATCTTGATATACAAAAAATCCTCCTCTTGTTTCTTTTTGCTAGTAAAAAATTTCCATTCAACTTCTGCAATTTTTGTAAAAGTAATTTGAAAATGAATAAGATTTTTGAGAGATTATCATTAAATATATAGATTTCATTTGTTATTAAAATTAAAACAAAAAACACACTAATTTCTATATTCATTACATAAATTTTGTGTATTTTTTGCCAATAACATTAAAAAAATGTTTGATCATTTTCGGTGGATTTTGTTTATTTAAAAACAAGAACATGCAACAGTCTGATCTTAGCTCAAAAGACTGTGTACTTGCAAACAATTTCTCTATTACATTTTTAATCCTTAACTAACTGTAACACCATAAACTACTAAGAATAGATCTAGCACTAACAGTGTCCAGCGAAAATACTGAAAACTATTTTAAAATGCAAATATCCAATAAATGGACATCGAAACTTGTGACAGAGCTTATGATGAACCAATATATCAAACAACAATCTACTTATTAAAAAGAAAAGAATTTCTCTTTCTTCAAAGGAACTGAATGGGTCATACTCATATAGTAACAAATATTTTGTTTACTAATAATAAACTTTATTACATAAAGATACATACTTTTGTGTGTGTGTGTGTGTGTGTGTGTGTGTGTCACTAAGGCAGAAAAAAGAAAATTGACATTTTTTTTTAACCTTTTCAGCATCGTTGGAAAGATTATTTGGAAATCATTGCCGAGGGGTTGTATAGCTCACGTCTAAATGCAGAAACAATCTGATTCTTTTTTGTTTTTTTTACTTCACAATACCACAATGAAAAAACAAGATTATACCAATAGGTAAATAAATTTATTTTACAATCAAGTGTAGTTCCTTCCTCCGCCCAATGTTTTTTTTTTTTGTTCAGTTCAGTATGTTCACTAATCACAGATTACAAGTTAAAAGAAAAAACCTAAAGCCAAAATATGATAATTTTGAAATTTACAAATTTTTTAAATCAGATCATTTTTTAACTATTTTTTTTTTTAAAATGGAAAAAAAATCGTTGATAGTCAACTTAAAAAACTCGAATAAAAAAAAAAACCTTCAGCCTAGCAAATGAGTGTTTTGAGTCCAACAAACTCTTTTAATTTTTTTTTTACCCAAAATGTAATTAAATCTGTGTCTACGCACCTGTAACTCATTCAAATTATTCAATTCTTTCATACCCACTAAGATTTCTTTTCCTGTATCTATCGTTGGTTAAAATAAACACTCTCCACACAAGCAGACACCTATTCTCTACACAGAAGTAGGAAACCAAGCCCACTGATAACCTGAACTTGCGTGTAACCTTACAAGAAATAAAATAAACAAGCAAGGACAAAAAATCTCAAACAAGCCAATCCAATAACCATCCATGCACGAACATAAGTTTTTTTTTGCGTAAGAAGAGAGAGAGGGAGTGTATAAATTTAATTTTTTTTTTCATTTATATGGCTATATTCATTGATACGACGTGTTTTCGGTCTTACTGTTAAAAAATAAAATCCACTACATTGGGGTTTATTTTCAAATAAGAATGAAATTGAAAAGGGAAATTAATTTAAAAACTGTCACTAACTCGCCTGAAAGCCCGATTTTGTTTAAATTAAAATTAAATAATAATTTATAGTAGAAAAGATAAACGAAAATTAAGTTAATGAGAAGGAAATTATACTAGTCGTAAAAAAAGGCAAGAACAATTGAATAAATTACTTTTAGTTTTAGTACTTTACAACATGAACAGCAATCAGCTGTAAATGAAAGCAGACATAAAAAGGCTTCAAAAATCTAAGTTGAAAAGTGAAAACTTATTTGTTGTTTTTAAAACTTTATCGGTGCTTATTAATCTTATTTGGCGCTGTAATTTAAATAAAGATTGTTTAAATCCTCAAGCTCAACAAGAATCTTTTCCCAAAACTAAAAAGGAGTAATTTAAGTAAAAAAAGTTAGTTTGTTGTTCGTTATTTTTTTTTTCAGACGCAGGTAATTTGTTTTTTAAATCAATCAGGAAACAATTTTAATTAAGAAATGTGTTTGTACTTTGGATTATTATTTATAAGCTATATTTCCTGTGCTCAAACATTTTTATTTTTAATTTTTAGTCTTTCGGTGTAGGTAAAAAAAAAAAAAAGTTCACATTTTGACAGTTGAATTGTTGGATGCGCAGAAGTCGTCGTTATGTTCACCTCTAGGTCCTCATTCTTTGTAAACAATTAAAAATTTATTTATAACATCAAAATCATTATCACAATGAAGTAAGTGTAAGCCTATATAAATTTCACAAGATGTTAAACTTGCTAAATTTATTTAAAAAGAGAAAGAAAAATATTAAAAGTTAAAAATGAAAAGAAGAAAGGACGCTCAATATGGCCACTAAAACTGAACATATTTGACAGTGGATATAAAGTGGAGGATTGATTTGTAATTATATATTCATTAAAAAAATGAATCCCTCAGTTTCTGCCCAACTTGCACTGCCACATTCCTTTTTGAAAACCTTAATTGATGATGAAATCATTTAAATAATTTTTAAATATGAAGTTTAAACGAAAAGACATTGAAAATAGAAAATCGCACCTTAAAATGACTTTTTGGACAACGGCATAAGAAAGTAAGGGGATATTTTCAATATATATATATTTCAATTGAAAATCGATTTAAAAAAAAAAAAAAAAAAAACCTAAGTAAAGGCCAAAGGGTAAAAAAAAAAGATTCTACAACACCAGTAGATATCATCATCATTATTAAGGTGAATGATTTCTAATGTAATGGTTCTCTAAAAGGTGATCCTCTCCACTTTTTGTGACTATCACATCATCATCATCATAATAATAAAAATAAATGTTGCACAAAAAATGAAAATCAAAATAATTTGAATAGCACATACAAAAAGCAAGTTACCCCATGGAGTATGAAATAAAAACAAATCAAAGATTATAATTAATATTTTGATGACTAGTTTTAACTAAATTGATTTACTACACAATACATCAATTGATTTATGAACAAATGAATGAACATTTTTTTTCTTTAAAACTGCAAAAGAAAGAAAAAAAGGGAATGTCATTGATGTTGGGTAAACTGAAACAAATTGACAAATAAAATGTGACAAAAAATGTTTGCTGTATCTCATATTGCAATAAACATTTTATTTAAAAGATGGATAGCATTTTAAAAGAATCTCGTGATATAACAAATATGATAAACGTTTGGATAAAAAAGACAAACGTATCACCACCATATAAGAAAAAACCGGCATTTAAGTCACGTGTCAGCTTTATCGCAAACTGTACACAAAATAAGCCGAAAAATAAAAAAAGATTTTTTAAAAAACTATTTTTCAAGTTACTTAGATTTTTTTATTGTAATTAAATGACTACATAAGCGATATGAATGCTGCCAAAACATTTAAATAAGATGTGAATGAAATAAATTACAAACATTACAAAGTTTTGAAAACGCTTTTTCCTACGTTTTACATTTTTCATTCATTTTTAACAAAAAAAAAAAAAAAGAAAAAAAAGTAAAGTGATTTTAAAAAAGAAACGTACAAAACTATGAAGCCTCTCTCCACTTTTGTTCGGATACTATTTTACATCCTACTAACACCCATATACATATATACACACACACACACACACACAAACTATATACCTACCTCTCGAGCAATTTGTCCGAGGGCTTGATCATCTGCCGTGTAGGTTTTGGCATTCATCCGTTTTCGTCCAGCATTTGTCGAAGTCATTTTTACTTATTTTAAGTTATTTCCTCCAATGGCTAAAATAATAATTTCCACATAAATAACTGTAATAAAAGAAATCAAAAAAAGTTTACGCGCAGTCTCTAAAACATTGAAACTGTTTTTCTTTTTCAGTAAAACCACAGATTGTTATTGAAGAAAATAGATTTTCTATTTACAATTAATGTAATTCTGGTTTTACTTTTGTTGAGTTTTTAAAGGTGTTTTTTTTTTTTTAATCTTTTCATACACTCTAGTAAATCTTCGAATTGCGGTTGTTGCGGGAGTAATAATTATTGATGATAATAATCAAGTTGTTGAATGTTTATGTATAAACACAATATGTAGATATATTTTTATTGTTAGCTTTCTTGTGTAAATTAGTTGTTATGTTAGTGTAAGCTTTCTTTATCTTTTCAATCTTCAGTTACTCCAGTAGCGAAATAATTAATTGTGCTTCGTTCATATTTAAGAAGAGCAATAACAATAAAGCAAATAAATCACAACATTTAAATATTATATTTTTTCTTTTACTTATAATTGTTAAATAGGTTGTATCTTTTTTTTTGTTTTGGTTTTTTAGTAAGTCCTTATTTATATCATCATTCATTTACATTCACATATCAATCCAATAGCGAAATTATTTCATCAATTTGCTTCGTTCAAGGCCGGCTACGATGACATTGGCAGCTCGGGAAAAATGGATATATTTCCGTTGGGCCTTCGTCTCCATTTAGAAGAACAAAAAAGTATCAGTCAGCTGGCGGATTGTTTAAAAGAAGTCGCGACTCGGGAGAGAACGGTATTTGTCAGTCCACCATTTTCAGTCACCTGCGACACCCGGATGTCAGCCTCACTCCGAGTGTAGTCGAGCGTCAACAGAGACAGATAACCGTAAACCAAAGTCTTTAACGTTAATTTGAGACATGTAACCAATATTTTCAGCTGTGGCGTGGAAAAATAAAATAAATAATATCTAGCACAACTAGAGACAGAGAACCGATGCGGCAAGATAAGACGTGCAACCCTCAACACTAACAGTATTACATTGTGAAACGTCTAGTACTAGTTAGTGTTAACTGAGTCAAACTAGGAATTGTTTAGTGCCGGACAATGAACCTTAGCTTCAACAGCGTTGATTAATGAATAACAGGCTCTAGAATAGCCGTGAGTAGAGTAGAACTTAGAAGAACTAGCTTTCTATTGAATAACTTAGCCTTAGAAAAGACTAAGAGTCGGGCGACTTCTCTCACTATGTGCCGTTAGTGTCTGTGTAATCTGAAAAAAAAATCTAGGTTTTACTTTTAAACAAATTATAGAGATAACCGTTTCTTTATTTAGTAAAAAGTTTAATTGCGTATTTCATGTCAAGTAGAGCTAATCTTTGTGGCTATAATAGATAAGAAATATCTTACGCTAGCAAAAATAAGTTGTTTTCAAATGACAATGTTTTTTAAATGCAGCTTCAGTCGAGGTAGATAAATGACAAGTGGTTAAGAAGTGAAGTGTTATGTAGAGGCAGATAACCTTACGGTGTAGCGTCAAATGAGACAAATAACTGCTAAAGCGGTGTGTTGGAGTGTCAAATGAAAGTCGCAATTTCCTAAGCGTTGCTTGGATGTGGCACAAGGCCAAAAGAATAGACCACTTAATGAGGGCTGAACTCCCTATTCAGACGTTTATATACGCAAGACAAACTTGCTAACCATTATCAAATTAAATTTAAAGTATGTAATTGTAATAAAATAAATTAGTATGCATATCAAGAGCGATGGAAAGTAACTGAGACAGATAATTGTAGCACCGGGTACCCCGCCGAAATTCAAAACAGCAGGCTTGTTGTTAATAAATAATGCTTATTGATCAGAAATAATCGATGATGAGACATATCAAATATCAACCAAAAAAGACAAGTAGTTTCGATTCCTTTCAGTGTCAACTAGAAGCATATGAAACTACCCGTGGTTAAAAAAAAATCAATCGGCAGTGATTGAAATGAGAACCGGAGAAACACGCTATGAAAAATCTAGCACCACTAGAGACAGGTAACTAATCACATTCATTAACTCGAAAGGCGTATATAACCGGAGTGTTTTTATTAAGTAAAGACGTGTCACCACTTCCATGCAATTTAGCGTAAATCGAGATAGGTTATTTGTAGTCAGACTGAGGTAGGTCTGGTAGCCACTATTGCGATTGTAATAAATAAAATGACCAATCATTAGCATTTTTCAGACTGACAATAAAATTTGTCAGTCTGAAAAATAAGGTGTCGCTGTCTCCAAAACATGAAATTTTCTTCTTTTAATCAAACCGCTATTGAGACAGATTGCTCGAGTTTATCTAGCGTTTAAGCGGAGATAGGTAACCCAGTTCATATGTACCTCAGCGTCATATTCCACCACTAAATCGTTCAAAGTCAGGTGGAGGCTTGTTACCCACTACGCAGTTGTAGTGATGAACAAGTCTAGCGTCGATCGAGGCATACAACAGCTGGATATGTTAGCGTCAGGTAGGGGCATATAACCAAGCACTCTAACGTTGGTAAATCGAATAACATTAAAAACAAACATTATTCCGAGTTTAGGAGGAATACGTACTTGTGTCAAGTAGAATCAGGTGATTCTTTACATTGGTTTTAAACGTTTAAAAACTAGCGTTTATTGACATTAGTAACTGCTGTACTGTGAGTGAACCACTACTGAAATTACTCAGAGATCACACTCTTTGAAAGACAAGATAATTTCTCTGGTGGAGAACATGAGTTTTTTTTACAGAGAGAGAGAGAGAGCCATATCTGGTTACGGTTAATCGAAAATGATAAAAATCCTATTTAGTGAATTTTTATTATTTAATTAAATTCTAATGGATTAAAAAAATCATTAGTATTTTTCATTAAGTTTCTTAAGGAAGAAAAAAAAAAGACGATACATGTTGCGTGCCAAACCAGCTGCTGATGCTCTCAGCCTATCTTATGACGGAAATTAATACATGTTTCTGTCTGTTAGAGAATTGAAGGGTTTCGTTTCTCATAAAAAACGACCCAATAATCTTTCATTTTAATAATTTTAATACACATTCTTCGTTTCGGTGTCAGAGGTCCGGGTTCGAGCCTAACCAAAAGTTCGGGTTTCAAATACTACTATTTTTTAGGCAGGCAAGCCTTTTTGGACTTGGAATATTGGAGTCTTCCGATATCGTCATTTGACTTTACACAATTATCGATATTTATTCCGACACAACTTAAATAGACTAGTCCACTCGTACGGTAAAAAAATAGGGAAAACAATTTTTTTAAAATAATTTTTGTAGATTAGCCTTTTTAGACCTCCCTTGAGATGCGACACTTACCATGATCTTATTTCGCACTGATCGGTCTTCGATCTCGGGTAAAAAAAACTTTAAAATTTCGGAAGATATCGAGACACAAGCCTTTCCTAATTAAGAAAAAAGCATGACAACCTTTTTAACCGTTGTTCCCCAAAAAAGTGGAGTGTAAAAAAACAAAACAAAAAAAAACGTTCATTTCCTTGATGCTGCTACACACTTTCGACTCCCTCGCCAATGTTTATTTACAAGAAGATTATAAAAATAAATGCTATATTTATTATTTACCTTCTATAAAGATTTATTTACCATTTTTTAAGGAAATAAATTTGAAAAGAAATCTTTTTATTCAGAAATTTATTAAAAAAAATATAAAATTATCAAAATATAAGACGAGGAAGAGATTGTAGTGGACCTCCTAGAAAGGGGGCGCGATATAACCTGGCCTGTGCACCCCAATAAGGTGTCACAAGAGGTCCACTAACATTTTTAAAATAAATGACGTCAAATCTGACAGGTCAACAAAAGGACAACAAACGTCTGCCCTTGGTCACGTGGATGGAGTAGCGCAGGGCTAGGATATGAAGATGCTCTCAGTTTCAACTCAACCTAATAAATTTATATCACGAAACCGAATGAAAGAAATGCCCGGAATGTGCATTTTTTTCAAAATTAATAATTGCCAAGGGAGTCAAATGTGTATACAATAATAGCAATGTCAAGGGAATAACCATTCTTTTGACACCATTTTTTTTTGTGGGCACAAATGTTAACCAATGCCGAAAAATTATCATAACAATCTTTCTTTTCACTGTTCTTCTCATTTCATACTGAACCTTTTATGGAGTGACTTAATCATTTGTATTTTTCACTTAAGACTTTTTATTTATTTATTTTTGTAAGAGGTGGATGTGGGGTTACTATATGCAGCAAAATTGCAAACTAGAATACACATGATGTCCGTATGTAATCTGAAATGTTATGTTTAAAAATGTTATTGTTCTGAATTGTGGAGTCATTAAAATAAATAGTACACTCAAGAATAATGAACATGTGACAGCCAATGTGCTATATTGGTGAGGCTCTTCAAGAAGAGAACAACATTTTTCGACACTGAATATAGAATCAGAAAAAATAAAAAGTTTTCTATGTATCTTTGTCACTGTTAATTTACTACAATGTAACATAACAACAATCAACACCTTTTAATCATTTATTTTCCAGATTTATTCACTCATAGTGCCATATTTTTTTTAATAGTGAACATTAACGGGTTACAAGTATAAATTTATAATAATACATCACACTGAAACACCAGTTCCTGTATTCCTGTACAATCACTGAAGTTAAGCAAGGTCGAGACCGTTCAGTACCTAGATGGGTGACCACTTGGGAATACTAAATGTTGTAAGCTTGGATGTGCAAATGGTGTAATGGATACTAGCTCAAAATTGTTAAATGGAGAGCTGAGTTCCAGTTCCAATTGGGTTTATTATAATCACTTGGCTGCAAATACGCATGGGAAAGGTATGAATCCACCTCTTCTCCCCAGCTATGGGTTAATTAGCATGATTTTTATTACTAAATCATTGTTATCTCCAGAAAAATAATTCTTAAAATCTAAAAATATTTTCTGGCTTTAAGTAATGTGCAAAGGGTTGATAAGCCACAGAAGTCAAATCAATCAATCTATTATTAATAGCGGATTTTATAAACCTATAATACCAGAAGGAGATGGGTGGGGGTGAGTAACAAAAAAAAAGGTATTTTTTTAACTTTAAAAAATCAGCTAAGTATAAAATTTTATTGGATTTTTCAGAAATTATTCTCTAATAAATAAAATTGTTTTACAGTTATTTTTTTGATTTTATAGAAATATTTTTAGGTCTGTCATTGAATTAAAGTTTATATGGAAACTTACTTACAGACACAATTTGAACGATAGTGAAATGGATATATGTGTTGTGGGAGAAAATTTCTCTTTCTGTCTGACAACAACCCCTGGATAATTGGAAAATAGTATAAGCTGAGATTTTGAAGTCATTTTTATTACTCCTGTATTTAAACTGAATATATTTTCTAACAAATGTAGTATTTTAATTGTACAAAAAATTTACATTCAAAATTTAGTGCTTCTGCTATGCAGTTAGAGATTCTTGATAAAATCCAAAAAAGAATTATCGGTCATGACCTAGCATCTTGGCTTCAGTTAATTTCCCACTGCCGTAATGTAGCTTCCCTGTGCCTTTTCTTTAAATATTTTCATGATAATTGTCCTGATGAGCTTTCCACTTTGGTATCTAAACTTCATGAATTTAATCACAGATCTAGATTAGTAGTTTGGTCTCATCATTTTACAGTAGAAATGGCTAGATGTAACCATAAGTTCTATGCTAACAGTTTCTTCTCTTGCACTTCTCACTGGTGGAAATCTCTTCTGGCTTCTTGCTTTCCAGTCAACTTTGATCTTCAAAAATTTTATATGTAACATTGTTATCTTTTGTTTTCTTAATTCTTGGTTATTTATTGTCCTCTCTCTTTAATAAAGTTTTACTTTTTCTCTTATTCATACTCAGTAACCTCTTGCATCTTACTGGCTTTATTGCCTTGCTTGTGAGGTACTGAGTGAGGATTAAAATTTTTATTTACTTTTTATTACTAATCTTGCTTAATAACTATTTTAGCAAATAAGTAAATCATAAAGCTGCAACTTTGAAATTTACATTTGAAACCTTGCACTTCTGCTATGCATTTAGAGATTCTTGATAAAATCCAAAGAAGCACGAGGATTTGAAATGGTTTGAGCATGTAAGGATACAGAAGGTGCTTATCTCATTTTGGTGGAGATGTCACATGGGTCATATGACAGTCGCTTAGTGATGTCACTCCATACAGTGTCAAAAGCAGCAGTTAAATTCATTTTTTTTACAGCAAGTAAACCGAAAGGTTGCTTTCTTTAGCCCAGGACCCCCCTATGGCTTGGGTAGAGGCGAAATCTGTCTCACCAGTAAGTCTATGTGCTGTTTCTCTTTGGGAATATATCTTTCCCAGATATAAAAAGAAACTCCAGCTCACAGTTCTCAATTTGGGAAAACCCAAGACTCGTTGCTTCCCATTCTTGGAATAGATGAAATCAGCCTGCTTGAATCTGGAATCCTAAACATGGCTCCTCCAGACACAGGAGTATCTCCATATTATATGTAAGACCATTCCTTTTTGTTTCTCCTTACATTTTGCTTTTCTGTATGTGATATATTATTCTCAACATGAGACACACACACACATATATATGTATATAGTTTTGTGTATGTTTTAGTGATATAAAAGTCACTCTGAGGAAAAAACATGTTTGTCATTCCTTTTCCTTACAGCCATTCTGTTCCTTCCCTGAAATACAGTGTCATTATAACATGGATATAATGGGGAAAATACAAATGGGAGAATAAATTGTTCTTCCAAGCACTCCCATTACAAAAATATGCTTACTTCTCATTGTTCTACAGTAGGCTTGGCCTTTTGGCTGGGATGAAAGCATAGCATCTGTTCTTTCCTCATTTGAGATTTGAGAAGTTGCCAAATCCATACTACAGCACCTTCCTCATTACACTAAGAGAGGTGGGGTTGGTGTAATATCAAGACCAGCATGACACTGATTGCAAGAACTGGGCAATTTTTATCCTTGGCTAATATGCACCCCCACATTAAAAAAGATTATGTAGCATCCTGCCTTAATAGGGAGGTCAGGTCAATAAAAATCACTCTACAGTAGGCACCTTGTCTTAATGTTTTGTGAGGACAGGAAAAATATCACTTAAGTCATTTAAAGTGAAGCATAATATACAAATGGTATAGGTAGGAGTGAATCACTGTTTAGTGTTAAGTTTGTTCAGTAAATGAAACTGACAGGCAAACTGTTTTGATGCTGCATCTCTAGTATTTGCTGAGGCATGTTCCTTCTCTTTTCCTGTCCAGTCAACATGCACAGCAATGGTGCCATTTTCAACTTACAGATTACACTTGTGGAAAGCAGTAATGGCTGAAATGCATAAGTCTTCCAGACACGACAGAAGTTAAGAACATTGTTTAGATCTGAGGCTGCTGTTCTGTTTCAACTTTTTGGTGAGTGATGATTGTTATCATATATTTAGGTGGAATAAAAGAAAAGAAAACATATTGATTACATTTTACCCATATCTTCTTGGCATCAGTTAAAACTAACTCCTTTTTTTTTTCTCCATATTGAGACTATTTTGCTTGAATTTTGTATTTTTTTTGATGCCACATAAAAAACTTTGAATTGTTTTCATCATATTTCAATGAAATTTTCCTTTTCCAAAAAATCAGTTTATAATCATAATTTAGATATTTGAGAAAAGAAAAATGCTTGTGCCATTTCAGTACACACAAACATGCACAATATAATTTGACTAAGTTTGAAATAAGACATTGGAATAATACATTCTTCTCTCATGCAATCTGGATAACACCTACTCTGGGTTGAACAGTAGTATCATAAAGTTGGAGACAAGACAAAAAAAAGTAAACCTAAACTCTAAAATATTATATAATTATATTTTTATTTTACAGAAATTATTTGGTAACAAATAAAATTAAGTTTTAAGGTATCCTTTTTTACACATTTATATAATTGAATGTCATTGAATTAAAATATGCATGCAAAGAGACATACATACATGTAATTTGAATGAAATTAAAATGGATATCTGTGTCGTGATGACTAATTTCTCTGTCTGACAACAACCCCTGGCTAACAGAAAAATATTATAAGCCAGTCCTTTGAAGTTATTTTCTTATATATGTAAACTGAATAATTTTTTAATAAATGTAGTATTTTAAATGGAAAAACAATTTAGATTTGAAATTTGATCATCTTGTACCAAACAAGTAGACGTAATAGTATTAAGTTGTTTTTATGAAGCCTATAAAGTATTTTTTCATGAACTTGTTGTGTTGACAGGAACTCAAGCCCAAATCTAAATTGGAAACAGGAAAAAACACTTTTATTATACAATGATAAGAAAATGATCACACAAAAAGCAACACAAATAGCAAATATAAATTATGAAAGAAATGAACTGGTGTTTTTGAATGAGTTGCACTTTCCAGCCTTGATAGAGTTCAATATCTGTCTATATCTCTGAGATGAGGTATTATGATTACTTACATTATTTAGACTGTTATCCTCATCTTCATTGTGAATATGGCAATGAAGATGAGTATAACAGTTTGAATAATAATGTGAATAATTGATAGAGTTCATATGTGTCTATGTAGTTTTGGAATTGATGAATTGTTTTCTACACTACAGCCTCTTTTCCATTGACGAAAAGGCTATCACTACTCTATCACTATTTCCATGGAAAATATTCTGACAAGCTACATTCGTTAGTTCTGCCAGTTCAGACCTTCACAGCTAAGATTCCCATGGGATCCATACACTGAGACAAATCATCTTTATCCCCTTCATATTCCATTAGTATGAAGAAAGTCCTATTCAGACTGCTTCTTCTGAAGAACTGCCACTTTGTGGAATATACACTTGAGAAGATGCTTCCTAGATTATTACAATCTTAACCTCTTCAAGTATAGGCTTAACCTTTATCTTTCCAACTTATCCTCATAATCTGCCCTTCTTTATGATTGATGTGTCTGTTTAATGGCACATCAATTTCTTATGGGTCAATTAATGCCAAAATTAAATTTTCTTGGGAGCTTGGAAATAATAAAAATATGATATGTTATTCTGCTTTCACAGTTGAATACATGGTAGATGATATTCAGCTTTTGTGCATATACTTAATTGTGTGGACATGATTACGAGAGGCAGTGATGTGTGTTTTATGTTGTTTTATTGAAATTATATTCTAAAATAATGGCTCGGATTGAGGAATCGGAGAGCCGAGTTTGAATTCCAATCAAATCCATTACATTCACTTATGTGCTAATACCCTTGGAAAAGGTATGAATCTTCTTCTTCCCCCAGCTATGGATAAATAGCAGGACAGACCAGGTTCTATAGCCTTGGATGGCAACTAGTCTACTGCAGAAAGAAATCGCAACCTACTGCAGGAAAAAATCTGCCTTGTCAGTCATGTATCACGCATGGCACATAACTGACTGATTTGGGAATACAATTGTAGGATATTATATGGATTAATGTCATGAAAGTTCTTTCATGTTGGTTGTTTGGTAGTATTTTAAGCAGATTTGGATGAAGTCACTACAATTTGTTAGTATTGAACATATTGTTGGTAATTTTTTTATATAAAAACGTATTGGTGGCATTTTTACTATAAGTTTTTTTGGGGGTGGTCACTATTTGCCCACATCTGGGGCCCTAAAAGGTGCTAACACCCCAGGTTAGGATGAACCTGTATAGCGAAACTGAAAA